ACAACTACAATGACGTGGGAAAATACCCGATCAAAGCTGAATGCCATACATGTAAGTACCCGCGAACACTTAAGAATATATATATATATATATCTCAAAGCTGAGAACACTGACCAAGTAATGCCTATTATAAACATTATATAAACAGATTCACAAATCAAAACTTTCCTCTTCCTTAACATTGTTTTATATTGCCCAAAATAAAACTGTGGGTGTATGTGTTTAAACAGGCACTTTCCTTTGTAGACAGATATTTTAATCAAGAGGTACACATGGCTTCTGTTAGTTCTTCCTTATAAAATAAATTTCTTAAATTTCACTAAATTTCTTTAATTCATCAATAAAATTATTTAATTCCATTACCTCTGTTATGAAACTTTTAATTGTTTATAGTTTTTAGTCTGCATTTTAAGTATTCTGCCCTTTAGTTTGTATATTTGGATGGGAAAGTTGCCTTAGAACTTTACTGAAGAATAAGATAGACACGCTAGAAAAAGAGCAAAATGATCTTATGATAAAGTTTCCAGTAACCAGGAAAATGATCCACTCATATGATCTGTGAAAACAACAATGGGGCTAGGAAAAACATTTGTTACAATTGCAGCAATGAAACATGGCAAAGTTTAGAGTCATTCAAGGGGACTTTCCAACCATGTTCAGCAAAATATTTAGAACATTTATTATTTATGTACTTTATTAAAAGCATACGTTAACCAATTTCCAACAACTCTGGGCAGTTTAAGATTTAAAAAAATATTAGAAGCAAGAAAAAAAACCCAAAGACAAAAAAAGAGTGAAGATGGGAAGTGAGACAAAGTGTGACAAAGAAAGGAAAGAACAAAAGAAATAACCCAATGTAGTCCAAAGGAAACTTCACTCACGCTTACTTAGGGCCTGGGCAAAGAGCAAAGTCTTCAATGCCCCTCAAAACATGAGTAGGTTGGGAGATGTCCAGATTTCAGGGGAACCTCATTCCTGAGCGTAGGTGCTGCTACAGAGAAGGTATACTTTTGAGGTCCAACAGATGTCATTGTTTAATCAAAGATGGAGCATACCAACCCTACCAAACTAATTGGCTAGGCCAGCAATCCTCAACCTGCTTGGCAGCCCAGCTGGGAGGGGGGAGAGGGGAACTGAGTGGCGGGCCTGTGCACACACATGCAGCTCAACTTGTGTGAGAGATAGGTTGGTGCACACTTACGTGATTGCCCGCCAGCCGCTGCTCGCACAAGTTGAGCTACATGTGCACCAGTGGTGGGATTCAAATTTTTTTTACTACCAATTCTATGGGCATGGCTTGGTGGGTGTGGCAGGGGAAGGATACTGTAAAATATCCAGTCAGAGATGGAATTTGCTGGTTCTCCAAACTATTCAAAATTTCCACTACTGGTTCTCCAGAACTGGTCAGAACCTGAATACCACCTCTGATGTGCGCTCCGACCAGTCACTCAAGCGGCCCAATTCTGAATATGCCACGGCCCAGTAGTGGGCTATGGCCCAGGGCTTGGGGACCCCTGGGCTAGGCAGATAGTATGGGAGACAGGCATTTTCGGGTAACCAGGCTCTATACCATGAAGGGCTTTGTAGATTATGAACAGTACCTTGACTTCTACTCCAAAACAAAAAGGCAACCAATGCAGCTCACAAAGGAAATGCTTTATGAAGGTATGCCTATCATGCCCGCAGAACTTTGTCCTGAACCATTTGAAGCTTTCAAGTGTGGTTCAAGGGCAGCCCATGTAGACTGCATTGCAGAAGTCAAACCTTCAGGTGATCAGGGCATGAGTGATTGTAGGAAGGATTGTTAGTAGACTGTTCCAGATTCAAAGAAACTGCCTGTTCATGCATATTCCTAAAGCAAACTGAATTTGGCAAAATATGTTAATATGAAAGAAGAAGAAAATACCGAGAAGTAAGAATGGAAGAAAAACACATCCCATAGATGCTTTATTATACCTGAATGAAAAGCATGAAAAGCACCAAAGCAATAATTAAAAGAATTATACTTACCAGCCCACTTAAGGCTACGATCCAGATGTAAGACCCAGAGGTTAAAAGCTATAAAACAAAAATGTGTAATTTAAAATGGAATTTAGATTGCACAGTCCTTACACTAATATTATTTCAACATTAATTCAAATGCAGTAAAGGAGAGAATATCATAAATTACATTTTGTTTTTATGCAACAAAAGGGGCTCAAGTATTTCTTTAAATGTTGTCATGCGTTTAGAACAAAATTTGGTTCTGAAAGCAAAGCAATTGAAAATCTGAATGAAGGCTGAATGAAATTTGAATAAGGCTGAATGAAAAAGTGGAACAAAAAGAACTGAACATTTGCTGGGATTTGCTAAGTTTTTTTTATTGTAAAATTCAGTTTGATTTAATAAAATTATTTTCTCCAGAATCTGTTATAAAAGCCAACTTTTACAGTAAACATGTAAAAAAGTGCCTTTGTTTTTCATTAGCCATCTATATGTTCAAGAAAAAAACACAACTTCTAAAAACTAATCAGGCAACAAAAATACTGAGAACTATACCCTTGATCACAAACTTATTTTAACTTACTTTATATTATGATGCTTACACCGAATAGAGCAATACTAAATGGAGATGTCTGTCTATCTATCCCACATGCAATGAAACAACTATTTATTCCTCCCTGTCATTGCTGCAAAAAGAACCGAAAATGAGCGTGTAACAACTTAAAAATGGTCAATTGCATTTTTCAGGCTATCAGAAAGAACATTAGGAATGGTTGTTTATCAATTTGCACTCTACTCTCAAAATCCAAGTTATATTGTGTGCATCTTCCATTAAAAAAAACCTTGAAATGCACAACATAGGGTTAATAATATTTTATACTTTTGAACATTGTTTTATCAAAAAAAAATCAGCAATCTGAAAATTTATCATATGTCAGATATATAATTATTCTGCAAGAGAGATAACAATTTAGCACGATCTCAATTGCTTTCAGAATGAAGGAGTGATTATTTAATGGCACTTATCCGTTTGTTATGATAAGACTGGAGAACACAGCAAAGAAAGTGAAGATATGATAATACTAGAAAAATGTCAAGAGTTGCTTAATCAAAGTAACAAAACATATTCTTTATTTGGTCTGAATATTTAGGGAAGGGTAAAAGTATCGTTCAGACTAAATCCATATTAATAGCCTGAGCTGAAAGCTTGTTTGCCAATGAAAAGCCATAATTTATTATTGAAGTAGCTATCTGTCAAACAGATTACTTATAGAATTATTTAAAAATGGAAGAAACAGAAGATTAAGATCCTAGTATTTACCAAACCAGGATTGTCCCCAACATAAAATATTCCCTTAGGTATGTTTAAAAAAATAAATTTGTAGGATAACACATTTATCAATAATGGAATAAATAATAAACAAATGAATTCACTAATCTAGGATGGAAGTTTGAATTCTACGGGAAATTTTGAACTGAAGTCCAATAAAAAGTCCAAAAAAAGTCTATCACAAAATAAAATACTAAAATCACACTGAAAGTTGGTTTCCCCATTGCTAGCAATTAAAAGTGGTGTAAAGCTATGAGATGTATTAAGGTTTACTTTTCACTCACAGACAATATATATATGTATTGAATATCATCACTAAGTTCCTATTGCTACCTCTATCAATTTATTGCACATCTGCAGATTTACGCTACAGTGTTTAGTGCATTTTTAAAAATTAGTTTTGGAATTTTTAGGAGTTCCAATTTTTTGGAATTTTTAGGACCAGACATTTCTAGAAAATAGTGGGTGCAAATGGAAAATGCTAAACTAAGGGAAAAACAAATGAACATATATACAAACCTGCAAACCCAATATATAAACCAATGTCTTGTTTGTGATGGAAAATTGTCCCAGAATTTGTGTCACTTGCACTCTTGGAATGGAGGTATAAAATGGAACAAAAAGAGCAAATACAGGCCCCAAGCTGTTGAGACAAAATATATGCAAAAATGGAATATCAACATAATTCTTACAGAAAGTATTAACTCTCTCTTCCTCAACTATTTTGAATAATCAAATGCAGCTTAGTACTTTTTAAAGTATTAAATACTGTATCCAGGTTTACTAACTGACATATTTTAAATATCACAAAATGGTCTTTTTGTTTAAATTTGTTTTTAAAAAGTGCACTCAATGGTATAGAGCCCACAGAATAAGAGGGCCTTTTGCCTGCTTCTTACTTAAACCATCCAATAAGCCATAATTAAATGCTTTCCTCAATGAGTAAAGTCCAGGAAATGAATTCTTTCTTCCTTCACTTGATACTCAATCACTAGGTAGGAATAACATCTGTGTCTTATCTTTTGCGTGATCTATTCTTCTCGATCATTCTTGACAAATATTAGGAGTGATGTATACATACAAATAGTCTAGAAAGTATTCAATTTTATAAAGGCAGGAGAGGAAATATACATATTGTATACAAGCGATAGTTTTAAGAGAAGAGAACATACAATAGGTAGTTTAGGCTTTAACTGTGGAGTCCTTGGGGTGCACTGAAGATGTTACTACAGTAGTTGGGTAACAACAACCAAAATCAGAGACTACCAAATGATAATTTATATCGAGCTGCTTCTTTGACACACAAGTCAATATTGCAAGAAATCAATGAAAATCAGTGCAAATGGTATTTTAATTATTCAATCTTTCAAATCCAAGTTGAAGGCAACTGCATCTCAAAAATCTCAGCATCCATCTGAACTCAAACATAACCACAGATGCTTCTTTAAATAAGTAATCCCCCCCCCCCCGCTATTTTCAAGGACAATATATTTATTCCTACAAATACTCTGATTGTATTGACAGAATACTAAACATATCCCCTCAGACAGATGCAAAAAGATACAATTCAGACTTGGTCATGCACAATTTAACAAACTAAAATTAATTACATTAAATTAAACTTTTGCCATGCTTTTTTTAAAGTACATGTTTACAGTTAACAAGAAGTGTCATCAAAATATTTATGAATTACTGTGAAGAACAGTAAATTTATTACAGACACTTCTGTAATAGTCACAGACAGAGACACAATATTATGTAACATTATGACATATATTGACTGATATATTGACTTGAATCTGCACAACATATTTGTTTAAAATATGCTTGGCTTATTAGTTTATTTCTCAATGTATTCTGTCTATTTATTTAAAATACTTATATGGCCCTCTATCTTCTGTACAATAACCCTGGGTGACTCACAGCAAAAATAATAAATCATAAAGAAATCAGTAATGCTAACATCAAATTTCATGGTATCCCAGCCCTACCATATCCCTGTACGTTTGTTGGTTCCAATATTCCTCTAGCCTGATGCTGTCATATTTAGACAATTTGGGTCAAGTTTTGGTTCAGTAGGTTGCATAGACCCAAGCAATATGGTTAGCATGTTATGGAAGTACTATTAAGCTATATATTAAGGCTTAGTTTGATATGTGAACTAACAATGATTTGCTGCTACATTAGAAAGCCTTTAAACCCTATCTTTTCCTCTTCTCTCTACAGCGTTGAATTAGACAATAATTTTAATTTATTCTTGTGTCCGCTTAATAGATACTTCATAAGTTTTAAACGTCAAGTATGCTGATTAGGATTTAAAAAAGCAGTTTCCCCCAACACTTCCTCTTAATGAGGGGAAAGTTCCACTGATTGATCGTTGATTCTGATAGCTTTTATTTAACACCACAGCATCTCATTCTACTTTAACATCAAAATAACTCTTTTCTCCCTCTTGCTTCACACACACACACACACACACACACACGTGTGCGTGCACACAATACAACACACACACACACACACACAGGCAAAGCAAATATAAAAACAGTTTTCTTAGACCTTTCTCATTAATATATTCCCCAACATCACAAAAGGCTGCTGGTCTCTTGTTGATTCCCAGATATCTTCATTATAAAAAGCTGGAGAGCTGCTACCAAAAATGAGGAAAAGAAACCCTGGGAAGCCAGTTCTTCTTCTTGGTTACACTTCTTGTCACATATCCGCAAACGTACATTTCCTGATCTTTTGTAGCTGACCATTTTCTTCCTGAGAAATCACTCTACCACAGGCCAACAAAACTCATACATGGGAAAAGGCCAGATTGGTATCTTAAGAATAATTGTGGGTCACAAGAAGAATAGCTGGAGTGCTGATCAATTGTTTAGCTGCAGTATCCATGAGACCTGAAGGTATCTGGCAGAGTATCTTTTGTGGTGGAAGAAACTGCAAAGAACTAGCAGATCCTTCCTACCAGTGCAATGTTTGATGGCAGTAGATTGGTTTGTTTTTTTTAATGGTGTAATAGTAGGTGGGATGACCTTGGAAGACAAGAGAAGATCCATAGATTAGACAGTAGTCAGATAAGTGGTATCTGAGTCCGCAGATAGAACAAGGGCGTGGCAAACATCTCAAAGGAGGCCTCCCCAGTTTCTTGGGGGAGAGGTATAGTTTCAGACTTGCAAGATTCTGTTGATGTCATCTGCAATAACATTAGGGCTAGCACTTCCAGAAGTGGACTGCCTCACAAGGTTGACAACCTCTGAGCTGCCATATGCATCCTGTGGGCCATTTGTTGTGTAGGTCTGCTCTATAGGAATACTTCTATTGTCAAACTGGTCTTGTGGGAAATCTGTGATCAGAACTATGTCTGCATATTTATTCATCTGACACTGGTATAATCGCTAGGAAAATATAAACTTATTTAGAGCTTAGAGAAGTTAATAGAGGTGTCTACATGACATACCGTATTTGCCGGCGTATAAGACGACTTTTTTGCCCTGAAAAACATGCCTCCAATTGGGGGGGTCGTCTTATATGCCGGGTCGTCTTATACGCCGGCAAATAGTAATTGGGAAGCACTGCGGCTGCCCGCGGCTGAGGCACTTTTGCGCACCGTGGAAACGAATCCCGTGAAG